GTGTGCAGACCGATCGGTGTGTGACATCAAAGTACCATACAGACGGTTATGCTTTCGAAACGCTCTCGAGGTACTTTGATGTCAAACACTGATCGGTCTGAGCCGTGCTGTTTTTAAGTCGAACACACCTAATATGTACGCGTAATTGCATCGCTTTGACCGTAGATCCCACCTTCTCACACGCCATGATTGGTCCATTATGTACAATGCTTGCATGTTATTGGTCAAACTACTTTTCGATCATTACCTTCAGCAAGCATGAAAACAGGAAAACAAAGCCAAAACAAATCCTGGCCAGGACGCGTCCTGGGAAAATGGCACGTATGGTCACCCTAGCTAAGTTAATGGTCTCAAGCCCAGGAGATTTACTAGCATAGACAAATTTGGAAGTGGAACACGCACCAACAAATCAAACTATGAAGGCCTTTTAAAAGAAAGGAATTAGGAATCCGCTCACTCCTATTCTTAATCTGTTTTAGCAGACAACATCTGAATGTTAATTATTTACTGCAGTTCACTTTAAACAACAACTCGAGTTTCACTTCATTCATTCAACACGCTGGTATGCCATAATAGCAGGTACAATAACACACAAAATTCTGTTTCTCTGTATCTAATTTATTCTTCCGGATAAAAATAGAAAAGATTCACACGATGTCTTAGTGTTATGAATTTTAAGTCAAATTTGCCCGCATTCTCCACCACTGTAAGATAATGTTAAATTTTATAAGGGAATTAATTATTATTATTTTAGCTCAGGCTTTGAGAGGACTAGAATCTGAAGATTTCGAAGTCAACCCGATTAGAACTGATTTCAAATTTGATAGTTTACACTTTATCAACGGTCGTCCAGCGAGACGTTAACCTCAGTATATTTTAACAATTTTAATATTTGTATTTTCCCTGGCCACAGGTTAATACATGCTTTTGATCATTTATACGTTACGAGCTAGGTAACGTGATTTTGGCAAGGTTTAACTTTAGAAATTCACGACACAAGACAATACTTCTTTATAAATGAAAGAATTTATTGGCTATTCTAGATTACATTAAACTAAGCTAAAACACACACACACACACACACACATACACACACACAAAAGGTTCAGGAAAATGAGTTAACGGAATTTGCATGAAGTTTCCAAAGTTCTAACACTCGTTTTCCACGAGTTCTTTAAATAGAAAGAGGTGAAATGAAGCTAATTAATGCATTGGTTGGGTGAAGGTAGCTGTGCTAATCTTCTCATATCACAACCCTCATAGCATTAGTGTGTTGTTGAAGTGAAGGCAAGGTTGAACCATTCCACTGTACCGAGTAACTTCTATAAAGTGTCGTACAACACACACTGTTCAAAATAACAGCTTTTCACTAATTTCAATGTTGTGGGAATAAAACAAGCTTTCGTTCAACATTAAATAACAGGTATTTTGCATACACATTAATACTAGATGTCTACTTCATATCTAGGACCTATTAGACATACTATGAAATGTCATATGATCTATGAAATTCATATAGAAGATTTTCCTACCAGATATTAAATAGACATTTAGTAATCGCATTTAAGATGTATATGGTTTAAAATGTATGTAAATATACTTTGGAGATGTACGTGTGCTTCCTGTTTAAAATAAGGAACCGTGTTTTTGGTTTGTAATACTTACATTTGTAAACACCCTCATCCAAATGTTCCGCCATGTTCGATTATGACGCATCCTCTTCTTCTTTATGATGCATCCTCTCGCGTGGCCTCCTGGGATAGAAAAGTATCCATCGATGAGCACTCAAGAAGCTGGGCAGAAACAGTAGAACATCCGGGAACTTCTCGACTACTCTTTTATGAATACTAAGGATTCGGACATACTTATTCGCTCGCCTACTGCTTTTCGCCTACTCTCGTACCGTCTCGAGTCTCGTACCCGGCAGGGATTGTAGGTGGGGGGAGTGAATGTACAGCGCTCTCTTCCACCTTCAATACCACGACTGAGGTGTCCTTGAGCAAGGCACCGAACCCCCAACTGCTCCCCGGGCGCCGCAGCAAAAAATGGCTGCCCACTGCTCTGGGTGTGTGTTCACGGTGTGTGTGTGTTCACTGCTGTGTGTGTGTACTTTGGATGGGATGAATGCAGAGCACTAATTCCAAGTATGGGTCACCATACTTGGCCACATGTCACGTCACTTTCACTTATATAGTAGAGAAGTAGGCGGTTTCGGACGCAGCCACTCACTTGCTTCGTTCCTGAATGATTCAGCCGTTCGAACGAATCAATTGAATGAATGACTCAGTGATAAAATCAGTGACTTGCCGCCACCTGCTGGCAGATTTAGTTTCATTTTTAGCGTATAATTTTTTAGCGTATAATTTAAGTTATTTAAATAATATTTCTGCATTCAATTTTTATTTAAAACATTAATCTCCACATGAATTTATGAATTTAATTGCACTCATGCTACCTCCGAGCCTCATTAAACATCTGAAAATGTACCTACAAGCCACTTGTGTGTTCTTCTGTGCCACCTCTTGTACAAATTAATTTATTAACACTAATTTCATATGATTGGTAACTTATGCCTTATGCTACTTGTATTGTAAGGGTTAAAGCAAAAAAAAAATATATATTTTGACTGAATTTTTCTTCGACCAAAGCCCATTCCTCAGCCATACCCGTCTTACACCCAGTTTAAGAGCAGTTTTTTTCTTCTTGTAATTAGGAGCACTTGTCCTCCTAATTAAATTTAGGAGCAAGTTCTGATCAATTATCAAATTCTGATCAAAAATTTGCTTTCCTAATACGAGGTGACATTTGACTCCTTAAAGTGACTTACAGGAGTATTTTCTTTTTACCTTTGTAATGGCATCAATTTCATCTACGTCAAACTCAAATTTGTGTTTATAATCTTAAAATTTCTATTTAAAACTATATAGAATAAGACAAATAAGTTCCCAATCATATGAAATTAGTATTAATAAATTAATTTGTACTACAGAGGTGGCACAGAAGAACACAAAAGTGGCTTGTAGGTACATTTTCAGACATTTAATGAGGCTCAGAGGTGGCATGAGTGCATGTAGAAATTAATGTTTTAAATATATAAATTTGAACACAGAAATGGGATTCAAATAACTGAAATTATACGCTAAAAATTACACCAAATCCACCAGCAGGTGGCGGCAAGTCACTGATTATATCACTGAATAATTCAATTGATTCGTTCGAACAGCTGAATCATTCAGGAATGAAGGAAGTGACTGTCTGTCTTTATGAACTGACGGAAATCCATCGTAGCGATGGAACTTTAATCCCTGGCTAAGCCTGAGGTACATCACAGTCTCCTCCATTATGATGGGGGAAAAAAAATCCTGTCAGGATTGTCCTCTCGCACCATTGCTATGCGACAGAGCACCAATCAGGAACCTCTGGTGTCGCAACTAGGAAATCCTGCGAAGGAGTCCATGGCCTTCGAAATACGCGCACTTAACTTTGGGACATAGCTGAAATGTGGTATATTTCGTGCAAAAATGGGCCAATAATCTTCTAAATGTCCAGGTCTCAGGGAGAGGAACTTACACAAACCACTGATGCCAGACAGCAGTCATGTAAAAACAGCCAAATGATACCAAATAAACCAACTCTTCAATCAAGCAATTGTGTTTTTATTTGAGGGAGGAGGGGGCGACAGAAAAGCCTTTCTAAACAGTTTGAGGAAACGGGGAAAAAAGCCATATGAATAAAGCACTGAATTGAAAAGATGTCCAGTAGGAGTTATGCAAAACTCCCATGACCGTGTCAAGGACCACATCCCTGACAATTTCCTTGACCGCTTCCCTGGCCATAACCGCTTCCCTGGCCTTGACCACTACCCTGACCACTTCCCTGGCCATAGCTGCTTCCCTGGCCGCTACCCTGACCTTCACCACTACCCTGACCACTTCCCTGGCCATAGCCGCTTCCCTGGCCTTGACCACTTCCCTGGCCGCTCCCCTGACCATAACCGCTTCCATGGCCGCTACCCTGACCGCTACCCTGACCGTAACCGCTTCCCTGGCCTTGACCGCTTCCCTGGCCACTTCCCTGACCATGACCGCTTCCCTGGCCATGACCGCTTCCCTGGCCCTGACCAAAGCCGCTTCCCTGACCGCTTCCCTGGCCGCTTCCCTGACCCTGACCGCTTCCCTGGCCAAAGCCGCTCCCCTGGCCTTGACCGCTCCCCTGGCCAAACCCCCT